CGTCGGGCGCACATTCGTGCGCTGCGCGGGTCCGGTCGGGCGGTCCGCCGCACGTGCGGAACCGCCCGGACGGCGTCCGCTTGCAAGTATGGTTCATATATATATATATATAGGGTTCAGCCTCCTGATGAGTCGGTGAAACTCCGACGAAACAGTTTGTCACAGCCCCTCCGTTTCTTGTCCTCTTCTCCTCTTCTCCCTCTCTGCCTACGGTTTACCGGGCAGCTCTGTTTGACTATATAGTATATACATATATGCAATGACTTGCTGATTTCTGCTGCCGAGATTGACTGCGAGGTTGTACTATGCTGTGTGGTTTTGCATGCCGACTGACCCTGCTGTGTGTTTATTTGTGTGCATGCGTCAGTCCCACTGAGCCCCTAGACTGCCCTAAAAATAGAACCGGTCCTATGCTACTGCAGCAGCATCCCAGTCTTCCCCGATGTTAGAGGCCCAGAGGGGCCCACAGTGGGTAGAGCCCGTAGCCCTCAGTTAAACAGTACCGGTCTGTCTATTTTTCTGTCCAGTAGGCCGGTAGGGTCTAGGCCAGTTTAGGTTAAGTAGAGTAGGACCGATAGTGGTAGGACTTTTGGCTTTTCATTTTTTGTGTGCAGCGTTCGTGGCCAACCAAGTTTAGCAGCGCTGAATGTCTACAGCGGCACCTGCGACATCAGCGGGGTGAGGCAGCCATAGCCCGCCTAGCTGAGACAGCCATAGCTGGGGCTGTACTCAGCGCATCTATCCCCAGGGGATATCTGCGTTTGGGCAGGACTATCGGAGGGTCTTCACTGAGTACATGTGGGTACTGCTGCTGCGGTAGCCGCCGGGCAGCCATAGCTGCCTTCTTCATCGTCAGAGTGACTCATCGGCACTGGGGACTACTTCGCTGTTCATGATCTGCATCTGGGTGTGTGGCGCCGGCCTCTGGGAGGCTGTTTCAGTGCAGCGCTAGACTCTGAGAGTGTAGTAGTGAGTGGGGTGTGTGGTTCTTGTGTGGCGAGACACTGGGTTAAACTCTGGAACGATAATTGGGGTTAATTAAGTTGAGTTGGCTCATCATCTGGGTTACTTTCCAATTGTGATCTTCGCAGTGTGATCTTGTGATTGGTTGTTGGGAGTTCATCAGAGAGAGAGAACACTGTGTGTATTCTCCCCATCTGTGCATGGTTGATATTCCGCTGCTTATCTCTGTCTGTGTGCAGGTGGACTCTGTCTCTTCCTTCCCTGTGTCTCATGCATGTATGGGCGTGTGTGAGTTCTTCTGTGTGTGAGTGGCAATCAAATTGTCAAACAACCAAGTTCATAACATATAAACAGTTTGTCACAGCCCCTCGTTTGTTGTCCTCTTCTCTCTCTCTGCCTACGGTTTACCGGGCAGTTCTGTTTGTGACGATATATATATAAAATCCACCACTTTTCCCAAACTCACATCCATTTCAAATTCCAACTTTGTTCCAAATTTCAACTGTATTATTAATCCTTTCCCTGCGGAAGCAATCTAGGCTCTCACATTTCCGCGCGCCAGAAGGTGGGGTGGGAAGGCATTGTGAGTGGGTATCATTCTTTCTTCAGGGACGCTCTCAGATCCCGGGGTTTCCAGAAAGTGCTACTCCCCACCAATTGATAGGAGCCTTACTTAAACCACTAGTACCTCGCCCAGTGTTGGGAAATTCGGGAAAACTGGCAGTTTTCCCAAACTCCTGAAAATTCGGGGGCCGGCCCCGACGACAGCTGCCATTGATAAATCTGATTGGCAGCGGTCGTTTCGTTTCGGCCATCCGAAAAGGTCGGAGGCCCACCCGAGGCCCGCTATTTTCCCACGCGGCAAAGGTACTAGTGGTTATAAAAAAAAAAAATAATAATAATATTATAATAATTAAAAAAAAATCACTTGCATTCAACGAATTTCAACCGTGTTCCAAATGTCAACTCTCTGTTCCAAATTGAAAATGTATTCCTGCAATTTGATGACAAATTGGGTGTTCTTTTCCGCAAATTTGCCAATTTGCCAATTTGATATGGTGTCAGATCCCCAGCCGACAGCTTGCGCAAAAAAGTTGGCGAAAATCCAATTTGTCAGACACTGCTCGCTGACATGGGATGGGTTTCAACTTTCAAATAGAACTGCTGCCTTAAAAAGCCGGACAAAAAGGCGCTCAATCAAACTCTCTCATCAGCTGCTTTGATCAAAAGATTCAAAACTCTAAAACTCTAAAATTCGAAATTTGAAATTTCTCTATTAAATCCTATTCATCTAATTCCATCCGAATTTGGAATTTGTACTCCTGATCTGTTTCCTACCAGTCACATTCCTCAACCTCAACTTCACTCTGGAAGACTACCGTCTTCACCCCCGAATAGAACGTCCGGTCATTATCGCTACATCTGGACCGAAAGTTGTGCCAAATACCGCTACAGCTATAATTACCGGGCGTTCTATTCCGGTGAAGACTGTAGACGTGCAGACTTGCGGCTGACCGTAAGGAGCCGAGGTTTGATCGACTGCCTTGCCTTGTCCGGCTTGTGCAAGGCACTTCATTCTGAAAAAAAAAAGAAGAAATCCTCTCTTTACGTGCCTTGCACTAGCCGGACAAGGCACTCGATCAACTCTCGGCTCCTTTCGTTCAGCCGCAAGTGCACGTCTAGTCTTCCGACCGTTTCCGGGTTCGAAAGCCGAAACTTAATGTCCTCTGCGCATGCCAATGCAACGAACTGCCGAGCAGGCTGAGACGCCTTGAGGACCCATGTCAGAATTGTGGCATAGTGGTAGATGAGCACCTACACACACAAACAGACCACGAAAAAAAAAAAAAAAAAAAAAAAAAAAAAAAAACAGTCGTGCAGAGGTTTGAATTGTCAGTATTACTTCCATAATAACTTAGCAATAACTTAGCAATAAGTGACAATAACCAACTGTTGTTTCTCGATCTCAGGATCTCGGGTCCACGTTCCACTTCTGGGCCCACCCACCGGGGGGTTCCAACGAAGTGTTACTTACCGCCTCTCCCCGAAGACAATGGACCTTCATCATTGGGGGGCCCCCCGGATACAAGCTTATTATCTTTCCTGTCTTACAGTCATAATGAGAGAGAGGGTGATCTGTGTTTTGGGGAAGAAGAAGGTCGGTGCGAGTCTCACGTTCACATTTGCAGGACCATGAAGCGTTCCCACCATTCTTTTTCTTCCCCCGAACACAACCCATCCTCTTTACGAATGTACAAACGCACTGCGGATGACCAATGCACAACCCAGTTCAAGCAGTGCCTGCTGGGCGCTTTCCAGATTGTACATTTACGAGGGGTCCTAGTAGTTCCTCCCTACACATCTAGATGTGTATAAGAGACATTCTATACACTGGGGAAGTGTGAATGCAGGGCCCCAGTATAGAAGTGCACAGCCAGTTCCAGCAGTGCCCGCTGGGTGCTTTCCAGATGCCGCAGCGAATAAAAAAAAAAAAGAAAAAAAAAAAAAGAAAACAGAAAAAGAAAAGGAAGACCAGGTGTATCTCTTCCCGTGGTCTGGCTGAAGATTCATTCTCATTTTCCTCATGTGTTCAATGATCAGAGCCAGGCCCGTCGTTGGGATCAACTGGTATGTACTTGTATTCGAACATTCCTATGCCCTGCCCTACACAACGCCGAAATTACTGTGCCCCGTGCAGCGCGACAAAAAAAAAACACAGCAATGAAATTACTATGCCCTTAAAAAAAAAAAAAAAAAAAAAAAAAAAACTATGCCCCGCCCCACAACGCGACAAAAAACAAAACAAGAAAGTTCCTATCCCGCCCCATAAACCGACAAAAAAAAACACAACAACGAAGCCCGGACAAAACAACAAAACAGCGTAAGCAACGGGAGTCCGGGCCTCGCCGCACCACTCCTAGGGTCTCCCTCCACTACTATCTGCTGTACGCTTTCGGACAGTGGGACACCGCTCCACTTTACCGGAGGTACATTTTGGATAGTAAAGTGGGTCTCCCTCCCTCCAAAATGTACCTTTGGAAATCACCGTGTAGTTGTCAGATGGCGCCCTCCAAATTCACTCACCATAGTACGATCCCGTATATATAGTTCCCAGCAGCGGAGCGCAAAAAAAATCGTTGCTCGGAGGGTGGTCGAAGGAGGTCGGCGTTCTATGGTGAAATCGTATGGCGCACCTGGAGTCTGGGCCGACAAATTGCTGTCTGTCTTGTAGTGCTGTACGGGTGTTTTGTAGTGAACACAGGAATTGGAGACTCGTATAGCCGATAGTAAGCGGAGCGACGCCGGGCCGGGTTTTATACGTTTTTTCGCGCTCTGACAGCTATACGGCAACAATACGACATTGTGTATAGCGGACAGTAGTGGAGCGACGCCAGGTTCCGACTTTTTTTCTGGTTCATCATTGATATTATGTATGGTTTCCCATGTCACTTAACATGCTCTATCAAAAGACCACCTTATCCTTATCCTTAACCTTAACCTTAACCTTAACCTTACATTAACCTTATCCTTAACCTTACCTTATCCATAACCTTATCCTTATCCTTATCCTGAACCTTATCCTTATTCTTCACCTTATCCTTATCCTTATCCTTATCCGGTAGTCATCCATCTCGACAAATGAACAGATGTTAGTGTCATTTGACGTACAAAGATCGTACACTGCTTGTATTCATAATTTCATATGTAAGGAACATATTAATCCTACCTTGCGCAAAGGGGTGCCAAAACCCCAATGAGTTGCAATAAACCAACCTACCTTGAAACAGCAAACCTGGGAGGTTGGAGGACTTGTACTTCCAGTAGTTAGCTTCCGCCGAGAGGAGCCATGCTGTGTCTTTTACCCTTCTGTTTATTCAACCATTGACCAAACAAGGTGGGCTTTGTTAGGCAAATATTTGCCTGGGCACGGATAAGAAGAAGAATATGGCAGGGCCTCCAATCCTTAAGAAGGAGGAGAAGGAGGAGGAGGAGGAAAAGAGGAGGAAGAGCAATGAAGAAGAAGAAGAAGAAGAAGAAGAAGAAGAAGAAGAAGAAGAAGAAGAAGAAGAGGACGAGGAGGAGGAGGAGGAGGAGGAGGAGGAGGAGGAGGAGGAGTACGAAGAAGATGATGATGCCGCCGCCGCCGCCGACCAAGAAGAAGAAGAAGAAGAAGAAAGGCAATGAAGAAGACTGCCACAGGGGGTGGTATCTGCTAGGGTACTTCACTCAGAGAAATGGGAGTCAGCGTCAGCCACTGTGTATCCATGATCAGAGGGCATCAGAATCCCCTCCCTTCCCCCCCTCTCCTTCTTGGCCTCCTTCCCCTCCCCCCCCTCTCCTCCCGCCGTGCCTGGCAACAATTCCTAGCGTTTTGACAAGGAAAGAAAATGGGAGAAAAAAAAAGTCAAGCACACCATGGGCAAATCTCCTTTCGGGGTTGTGATGCTTGGATCACTTACCGTACAGCCCAGCCCTGCATCTGGCTCCAGTACCCTAGCAGCACCAGCACCTTGGCTGCACATCAGTGCAACCTGCAATGAACCAAACAAATATCGCAATACGGCAATCAAACGGACAAGCGGATAAATCATAAATATTAAATAGGGTTCAAGTCATGACTGAGCTGAGAAGAAAGGGGACTACGGTTCAAGATAAATATTAAATAATATCTTCAAGTCTTCAAGATAAATAATAAATCTACTGTGCCCTCTCTCTCACAGATGTGTGCATCCACACATATGTCCATTCCGTGCTAGTATAGCGCTCATAATATCCAATCCGGCAATTTCCGTGCCAGTGTGTTTCCAAATGACACCACACTAGCCCCTGTTCCACCCACCCAGATGAGTAGATACACATCGACGCACATCTACATTTATTGCGGACAATGGATCCCTGTGTGTGTCTGTCATCGTGTTCTCTATGCTAAAACTCCACAGAAAACGCGTGACAGTGTTTCATCAGACTTCCTCCAACTCATCAGGAGGTTGAGACACGACAGTCTGCCCAGGATGCATTTGACAGTTGACTGATGCATAAGGACAAACCTTTTTTTTTTTTTTTTTTTTTTTTTTTTTTTAGGGGGGGGTGGCGGGGGCGTGGGGGGTGGTGAGGACAAACCTTGATATCAGAGTTTTGAGAAAAGTGGTAGACAACCCACACTAACCCTGATATGCTAACTGATCATGTAGTTCAGACCCCTGACATCAACGGCTGTAAGTCCAGGAAAAAACTGACCTCATCACGGCCAAAAAACCCACTCTAGGCACCCACTTAGCCAGCGATAACCACTGGGAGTCCCGACTCCCGACCCTACCCACATTTCGTCCATCTCAATGCAGAGCTACCTTCTTCCCCCGAACATAACGCATGTGCGTTGTATTCGAGTTTTCAAATTAGAAAAAAAATCGAATAGCATTGTATTTGAAAATTTTGGCTATTCGGATAGAAGGCATGTGCGTTGTATTCGAATAGAACACACCCTATTCGTTGTATTCGTTTACAACGCATATGCATTATCTTCGGGGGAACAAGGTAGCAGGCCACGTGTGTGTGTGTGTGTGTGTGTGTGTGTGTGTGTGTGTGTGTGTGTGTGTGTGTGTGTGTGTGTGTGCATACGTAACCCATAGCGCTAAGCACTAAGAAAACTCGACAGCAAGCTGCGATCCGATCGAAGTTCAAACCATGGACAAAGATATGCATCCGGACTCACGTTCTTTCTCGTGGGGAGTAGTGATGGGAGCAACTCGATGACATACCACTGGGTGCTTTCCAGTGCCGATCGTAACCAATGCTAACCATGCTCCCTTACTCTCTATCCTATTGACTGTGGATGGGACATGCTATTATTGCTATTAGATGTTGACATAGGCTAGAAAGACTATATACTATATTCCCAAGCGCAGCGAAGGTAAAAGAACAGCAGGAGGCAGCCAGGTAACCAGGCAGTGGAAGACACGTGCCAACAAGGGGCATATATATTGGAGGGTGGAGGGCATATTGGAGGGTGGAGGGGCATGGGGGAGGTGTGTGGGAAGACAAACAATCCCAGGCACCAAACGAAAAGACCAACAGGACGGAGAGTCGGAGACTACAAGCAACAGCAAACAAGAAAGAACCAGTCCAAAAAAAAGGCGAAAGCAGTGAGACAACACACAAAGACACAAGGCGGCGAAGGAAAAGACCAGCAACATGGAGAAGACAATATTAAACAAGAAGCAAGAAACAACCATGCAAAGCAGCAAGGCAAAAGCACGGGGGCACCGCACAGGCTGGAGGGCATGGGGGAGGTAGGAGGGGAGACAGCACACAAGCACACAAGGCAACAAAAGAAAAGGCAGACAAAAGATGACGAGCGCACGAAGCAGGCAATCCATAAAAACATAGAAGTCCCAAAAACATCAAAGGACTGAAAAAACACAAACCAATGAGAGATTGCTTCGTCGGAGTTGCACCGACTCATCAGCAACCGATCCCTCGACAATCTGCGGAATCCCTGCATTGATGCTTTGGGTCATGAACCATCTGATCCTTGTCGAAGGCGGACTGTCCACAAGCAGAACACAGCAGCAGCGGACTGTCCATAAGCAGAACACAGCAGGCAACATCTCAACCCAACTGCACAACGGCAAAACCAACTGCAAGGAACAACAGGGCAAGCGGACGAACAGCACAGCAACCGTGCAGTGAAGCACAATGCAACAGCAACAAGGCAGCCAGACACACAAGCAAAGGACACGGAAGGCACGACACACAGATGGGCAGCAAGGTAGCAGCGCAGCGAAGCATAGGGAAACCGCACCACGCAGTGAACACAGCAGCTTGCAAAGAACGACATACGATGCAAGCAGGGACAGGCACCAAGGCAGCAGCGGAGCGCAGACAAGGCAGTCTAGACATCCAACATGGAGCAAAGCGACACGTCACCTACTCACATCACGATTGAGGCCTGCAGACTCCTGGTTCCCACCACCTGCTGGGAGGTACTCTGACAGACGTCTATCATCCACCACACACCATACACACCACAGACATCACAGACAGAGTGCCCCCCTAAGAGTCCTGCAGGCACTCCAAACTGCCAACCACCAACTATTTAGCACTTCTTAAAGGTGCTCACCTAGACACAGAAAGTAGCAAGTACTTCAAAAAAATCAAGAAAGAGGAAACACATGCAAAGTTTTGCAAACATAAAAATATGATTTTGTGTGTGTGTGTGTTGTCATATTTGCTATACACTCAAGAAAAGCATGACTGCGCCAGACTGTTTCGTGTGTGTGTGTGTGTGTGTGTGTGTGTGTGTGTGTGTGTGCGTGTGTGTGTGTGTGTGTGTGTGTGTG